GGATTTGAAGGAACAGAAAGCTTGGCTGGTTGACTGAAGCTCCCACTAAAGGGTATCAACTGTTGCTTCAAATGCTTGTGTGACAAGTTACTGTATTGGATTGATAAAAACAATGTAGTCTTCAGGAGTGAAGAAAGTTGAAAACACCAGCACCCCATTTCCAAATGTGTTTAGAAATCTCATTCATTTTCCTGTAACTCACCACCAACTTATGAGTAGCCTTCAAGACACAGGAGTAGTGGATTGATGCCCATTTAAAATGATTTTTAAATGCTCTATTTCAGTTATCATGGATGCAAGCAACCTTATATGGGCTTTCAGGCTGTTTGGAATCAATTGCAATGCTTATGGAAAGAAGCATGTAATAGCATTTTATACATTAGGGCCTCAGCACTGCAGTAATAAATGGCATCTAATTCGCCCTGCCTAAAAGTTTGAAGCCATGTATGTGATTTGCACTGCAGCCATTTATGGGTATATAGGCTCTATGGAAAGTATACATTTATCTCAACTCCAGTTTTTGGTTCCCAGAGAAAGGAAATGCCTTATACTATAAAAAGCCCATTAGCAGCTTGGTTATTGGCTAGTTTGGCCAGAGTAGAGGATTGCACTGTTAAAGTAAAAAAGCAAAGTTAATATGCAAACACTTACCATTCAGTTTAAGTAGCAAATAGGAGCCAAATGCCCTGGGCGGCAGAGATCACTGGGGAACAGGACTCGGAAGACTGAAATAATTATTCAGTTATTATCTTGATCAAATGTCAGCACAACTAAAAATTCCCATGCAACAATCTGACTACTCCAGTGCAGCTAAAACTGGTGATGTTTTGACTCTCCCCCCCCCCCCCGGATTGCATCCCCAATTGAATTCAAAGCTGTAGATTGGGCGGGGGGGGGGGGATCTGTGCTCCTCCTGGTTTTGTTGGACGTCACCTCCCATTAGACCCAGCCACCATGACCAATGGTCAGAAATTATGAGGATTGCAGTCCAATATCTGGAGAGAAAGAGGTTCCTTAGCCCTCCTGCAGATTATTTTGAAAATCTAGCAATGTAATACTATGGATAGTTAAGGGCCATACTTTGGTCCAATCACCCTGACTTATCAAGGGAAATCCACGGGCAGCTGCAGTGCTTGGAACTGATGGGAAGGCACATCTGGAAGTGTATTTGCAGCCATATTGTGGTTTTAATTTGGACCCCGTTGCACTGGTTGGATACATTTAGTGTAGGGATGGGAAGCCGCAGACCCCTCCAGATATTGCTCAGTGACAATGCCCACCATCTCTAACCACTGAACATGCTGATTAGGACTGGTGAGAGTTGGAGTCCAGAAGCATCTGAAGTGCCACAGGTTCCCCATTTCTGATTTAGATACAGCAGGGAATGACCCTTTCATACCAATATGTGTGCTATTAGCAGTAGAGCAGAGCCACTTACAGCCCCTTATCTCATTGGACTTGATGGGAGTAAAGTAAAGTAAAGGTAAAGGTAAAGGGACCCCTGACCATTAGGTCCAGTCATGACCGATTCTGGGGTTGTGGCGCTCATCTCGCTCTATAGGCCGAGGGAGCCGGCATACAGCTTCTGAGTCATGTGGCCAGCATGACTAAGCCACTTCTGGCGAACCAGAGCAGTGCACGGAAACGGCGTTTACCTTCCCACCGGAGCGGTACCTATTTATCTACTTGCACTTTGCCGTGCTTTCGAACTGCTAGGTTGGCAGGAGCAGGGACCGAGCAACGGGAGCTCACCCCGCCGCGGGGATTTGAACCACCAACCTTCTGATCGGCAAGCCCTAGGCTCTGTGGTTTAACCCACAGCGCCACTCGCGTCCCTACTTCTGAGTAGTCATGACTTAAAACAAAAAAAACCCCATAAATGCGTGCCTTATATATTTTTAGTCAGGCATTTACTGCTTAAAAGCTCCTTCCAACTGGCAGAGCAAGTTTTTGTAGCTGGGTATTCCCGTAGGAAAAGGTACAGATAGTTATTAAACATGTGGCTGCATCTCCCTGCTTGAGCAGGGAGTGTGTGGAATATTTGCCGCGAGTCTGGAAAACACACTTTCTTCCTGAAGAAGAGCTGAAGGTCTCGAGTGACATTCCATTCTTAAACGAAAGCAAATGATCCCATCAGAAAATACCTTATCTGCAATGCTATTCAACCAACATGAATTACAGATGGCACACAGATTACTTCCACAAGTAAGCCATAAATCTGGGGAAAGGGTGTGTGCATGTGTGTCTATGATGTTTGGCAGCAAAATGTTCAAATTAGGCATTGGTGCTGAACATCGCTCTCCTTAACAGCAAATAAAGTTTTGCAGCTTAATTGCATGCTTACTCAAATGCGAGTCCAGTTGTGCTCAATGGGGCTTACTCCCCAGTAAGCGTGTTCTGGATTTTCACTCGAGTTTTCGTCTTTGAACGCCGGACACATTGTACACATTAAGTTGTTAGACATGTTTGTATTTTTGTATTAGAGCTTTTTATAGAATCTGAGTGGACATCAAACCCCAAAGCTCTCCCAAAACAGCCACAGATGTTATGCAGATGATTTTAATGCCGGTTTTAGTTTTGTAAGCTACCCTGGGAATGTTTTGAGACTGAAGTGTGGGGTATAAATTCATAAAATAACAAGAACAGCACAACAGCAGCACAGTACACATCTTATATGTGTGAGAGCGGCAGTCATTTGTTAAATGATTAGTAAATGTGTTCTGGTGTAACTGAACACAGTTTTTTAGTGAATGGAAGTGAAGTTGAGAAAGAGCCAACTACCGATAAAACGGGGTAGTCGGAATGAGTGCATGTGAGAGAGATGGGGGTGGGAGGGAGATGAACTGAAGAGCTGTTGAGGCAAATCGGTCACAAACAACCACATATGTTGATTCAGAAAATAAATCCCCACTGGTTTCAATTGGATTTAATCCCCCAGAGATTTCAGCCTTAGAAAGGAAGTTGTCAAGTCCAAGACCAATTCATTTGGCTGGGCTGGAAGCACAGGGTTGGGTTGGGGGAATGTTTGGATTTCAGATGTTGGTGAGCTACAACTCCCAACACCTCCAGCAGGTAAAGCCAAGGGACCTGTAGTTCAGAAACATCTGGAGGGGGCAATGTTCCCGGGCACCTGCACTTGATGGAAGATTAAAGTCTCTTCCCATCCCCATACGCCTGATCTCTCAAAGTTCAATGAATCACATTGCTATTAGCAGGGAACTCACCTGGCAGACGAAGGTGGACTGAGCCAAGGCCCATGTGGTATGCAGGTTGCCCACCCTGTCCCAAATGCACCACAGCTGGGAATAAAAGCATATATAATGGGAATGCTAGCGGACTTCATTCTTCCACTCCTTGTCCATATGGCAAGAGAGTATATTCTAATCCCTGCACCCTTGCCTTCTCCTTTTTATCTGTTTTCACCGCAGGTTTCCTGTTAAACGTTTGGCCAGACATTAAGGTGGGAAATTAGCATCAGCGATGTAATATACATGGGAATGATAGGTATTGTTTTCGCGCTGTCTTTCCCAGATTGATATTCAAGATGTTGGGGACGTTTTCCTCCTGTCTTCTCTTGCATGCTGCAATTTCCCAGAAAAAAATCTAGCGATGGCTGCATAAATGCTATCCTGGCCAATGTAGTTTGTTAACGGGTTGCTACGAGTTGTAACTTTGCGAGGGGTGAACTACAACACCCAGAATTCTTTGAGGAAAAGAATGCGCTTTGAGGGTGCTTTAAAAGTATAGTGTTCAGCTTTATTAGTTACAAAATATAGCCTAGCACAAATTTGTTATTAGAAGGCGACATCATCTAACAATTTACAGTGACAGGCTGTTGCACTGACACCAGGAGAACTGCTATTTGTAAGACACCCATGTGAACCAAGATTCAGGAACTATGATGAATACTTCAGTTGAGCTGAGCTCTCTGGGCTCCATCGTCACCCTCCAATTCCTTGAACCATCTTTACTTTATACAAGCATTGCATCCATGGGCTTTGAAGATGGTCGAACTCAGGATGAAAGGGACAAACATGCTAAGAGGAAGTGTGTCATGTGGTCAGTGGATAAACCATTTATTTTGTTTGGAGAAATGGGATTCACAAGCTTTTGGGTGCACTGTTTGGTATCCAGATCGTTACATTACAGCTAAGTTTGGGTAATTAGAGATCCTCTGTGAGGTGGGTTAGGCTGATTCCAGGGCCAGCCCTACCATTAGGAAGACAGGAGGCAACTGCCTCAGGAGGCAGAGACTAGGCAGCTACCTGGCTTTTGCTCCCGAGCATCTCCAGTAGCTGTGTGTGCCTTGCTTGCTGGTCTCAGGTGTACTGGAGGATGCCAACTCACGCCCTGTATTGAAGAAAAACTTGCAGATGAAATTGGGAGGTGGGGATGCCTCATCCTGATCTGACATCCTATACCCAGGAGAGGGGGAGCCTATGGCCCTCCATATGATCTGGGACTACATCTCCCTCATCCTTCTCCATTGGTCACGCCAGCTGGCTCTGATGGGAGCTGTAGCGCAGCCACACGTGGAGGGCTCATCATACTGGCTCTGCAAAGCGATCCCTTTTGCTCCAGATATACTGTGGCGGCTGCAAATCCCAGCAAGCCCTCGCCTCTTTTCACAGGAGACCCGTTTCGTTTTACCTTCCAGCCAGAGAGGTGCTGCGGCGGGTGTAGGGCAGCAGCAAGGCGATTCAGCCGTCGGTGTCAATAGGCCCTAATCTGCGGTAAACCGTGACTATTGCTCTTGGCAGGCCGCTGCTCCGTGCAGAGAAGGGGCGAGTGGGAGGGACTTGGCTGGCAAGCTGCGCAAATTGAAACCATCCAGCGCTTTATCTGCAGCCCACGTGCTCCGATCTCGCTTCCCCTCCTGCCCAGACGGCCAAGTTTCTCCTGCCGAGTCCCCCCCACACACACTTTGCACCCCCTCCTCCTCCTGCTGCTGCTTGGCTGCGCCTCGGCACCCCCCCTTCCCCTCGCCTTCTGCATGCACACACTGACCGGCGCGCTGCCCTGGTCCGACGGCCTCCCTCCTTCTGTCCTTTCGGCTGCAGCAGCCTCCCCTCCTCCTCCTCCTCCCCTCCTTGCAGCCGCTCTTCCCGCGCGTCCCCGAGGGCCAAGGGTGGGAAGTGCGAGTTTCCGCTCCTCCGCTTGTCTGTCCCCGGCCGCCTCCGCCTGCAAGTCCGCAGAGCAGCCCAGGCAGCGGCAACGGCAGGAAGCTCGCCGGGAGACGCAACGCCGCCGACGGCTCTCCCCCGCCTAACCCTGCGAGGCGGCGGCGGCTGCAGGGAACTGGCGATCGCCGTCTCCAGCGGCGGGAAGCCGTCGGTTGACTTGGCGACGGGGGTCTCTCCGTCCCCTACTCGGCAGCGGGTTCGAGAGGCGCGCCCCCGACGCCAGAGGAGGAGCCCGGCCGGCAGCCGCCGCGCAAGAGAGAGAAAGCGGGAGCGAGGAGAGGGTGGGATGCCGGAGAGACGCCGAGGGATCGGGGGAAGCTGCCGCTCGCCGCCCGCCCTCGCGGGATGGAGCCGCCGCGCCCGCGCCGTCTGATGCCGCTCCTCCTCCTCTGCTGCTCCTTGGCTCTGCTGCCTCCCGCCGCGCAGCCCGTGTGCCCGGAGCCATGCGACTGCCAGCAGCAGCAGCACGTCCTGTGCACCAACCGGGGGCTGCGGGCCGTGCCCAAAGCCGTCGAGCCGCAGGACATCCTCACCTACAGCCTGGGCGGCAACTTCATCGCCAACATCTCCGCTTTCGACTTCCACCGCCTGGCGGCGCTGCAGCGCCTCGACTTGCAGTACAACCGCATCCGCGCACTCCACCCGAAGGCCTTCGAGCGCCTGGCGCGCCTGGAGGAGCTCTACCTGGGGAACAACCTCCTGACGGCCCTGGCACCCGGCACCCTGCGCCCCCTGGCCAAGCTGCGCATCCTCTACGCCAACGCCAACGAGATTAGCTCCCTGAGCGCCGCTTCCTTCGCTGGGCTGGGCAGCCTGGTCAAGCTGCGGCTGGACGGCAACGCCTTGGGCTCACTGGGGGACGCCACGTTCTCGGGGATGTCCAACCTGCTCTATTTGCACCTGGAAGCCAACCGCATCCGCTGGCTGAGCCGCAACGCCTTTGCCGGCCTGGGGAAGCTGCGCTTCCTCGACCTGTCGGGGAACCAGCAGAGCCTGCTGCGCCACCCCGACATCTTCCGGCCGATGCGTTTGCTCAGCACCCTCCTCCTCTCGGGCAACAGCCTGCAGCAGCTGGGGAAAGGGCTCTTTCAACACCTGCCCAACTTGGCCAAGCTGTCCTTGAGCGGCAACCGCCTGGCTTGGTTGGCGCCAGAAGCCTTCGCCGGCCTGGGGGCCCTCAAGGAGCTGCGCTTGGATGGGAACGTTCTGAGCCAGCTGCCTGCGCCGCTGCTGCAGCCGCTGCGCAGCCTGGAGGTGCTGGACCTGAGCCACAATGCCCTGGCCGCTCTCCCGCCGGGTGCCTTCGCTCAGCTGCACAAGCTGCGGGAGCTCAGCTTGCAGGACAACGCCTTGACTACGGTGCCCGGTGACCTCTTTGCCTCCAGCCCCGCACTCTACCGCTTGGAGCTGGATGGAAATCCCTGGAGCTGCGACTGCCGCCTGCGAGGCCTGAAGCACTGGCTGGGCTCCTGGCATGCGCAGGGCCGACTCCTCACGGTGTTTGTGCAGTGCCGGCAGCCGAGGGCCCTGGCTGGGAAATACCTCGATTACCTGGAGGACTCCCAGCTCCCGATGGCTCTCAACGGCTCCTCTTGCCCCAACGTGGTGGCCTCCTCTCCTGCCCCGCTTGCTAGGGGCAACAGCAGCTCGGGCCTAGGCCTAGTGCAGGAGAAGGTCGGCTCGTTGCCCTCTGCCTCGACCATGCAGCTGCTGGGCTCTCAGAAGATCTTGGCGTCCGGGAGAGAGAGCTGGGCAGCTGAGACGGGCCCCACAACCTCAACGCCCGGCTTGCACCTCAACACCAGGCCACCTTCCCTACCTGGAGCTGCTTGGCCCAGGCGGGCAGGCAAATACCACTCAGTCTCGTCCGGCATCCCTCCGTTGGTCACCGACCCCTGCGATTTCAACAAGCTGTTCCTCTACAACCTGTCAGTGGAGGCCGTCAGCTCTGGCACGGTGACGGTGCGCTGGGGGGTCCGCCCGCACCGCAGCCCCCGCCTGCTTGGCCCTGTGCGCTTCAGAGTCCTCTTCGACCGCTTCGGGGCCGCCACCAAGTTCCAGCGGTTTGTTTACCTCCCCGAGTGGAGCGAGCCTGTGGCCACCCTGCAGGAGCTGCGCCCCGACACCCCTTACCTGGTCTGCGTGGAGGGCGTGATCGGGGGCCGCGTCTGCCCGGTGGCGCCGAGGGACCATTGTGCAGGGCTGGTCACCCTGCCCGAAGAAGGTGCGGGCGCTTCCGCCGCCGTGGCGGGCAGATCCCCAAACCTGGACCACCAACTCCTCACCCTGGTGCTGCTGGCGGTCAATGCGTTGCTGCTCTTCCTGGCCCTGGCGGCCTGGGCTTCCCGCCTGGTGCGGAAGAAGGTGCTGGGCTGCCGGCGGCGGAAGGCAGCGTCGCCCGTGCACGTCCGGCAGATGTATTCGACTCGCCGGCCCCTGCGCTCCATGGGACGGGCGTCTCCGCCGACTTTTCCGGCTTCCAGTCCCACCGCCCGCCCCGAAGTGCGGTCTGTGCCTTGAGCGAGGCTGACCTCATTGAGTTCCCGTGTGAGCGCTTCATCGACAGTGGCGCCGGAGGGAACAGCAGCGCCCGGCGTGGAGAGGATCACCTGCTGCAGAGGTTTGCAGACTAGAGCCGCGGATGGAACAAAAGCTGTGGCTTACGTCGCCACCCTGTTATGCCAGAATCAAGTGCCCAGCGTTGAGATTTGGCAAGGTCTGCTGGGAATGGCAGCCTTTGGTTGGGTGTACTTAGGTCTTCTGCTGTGCAAAAATGGCGGCTCATCAGACGAATGTTGGATGGTTCTAGGATAGGGCATGCTGGAAAAACAGTAGCAGCAAAGGGGTTCCCTGTTTCTCATTTGGGGACCAACCCTAGTTAAAGCGGGATTCTACCACTGTTCTCTTGAAATTACCACTATCCTTTACTGTAGCTGAAGGGGCACTGGTTCCTCTTCATGGGCAACTATCAACTTGGTGATGTGGGTTTTATGGTTGTCCAGTCATCAGTTTCCACACTGAGATGGTCTGTTGTTGTTTTCTAAATAACTATTCTGTAATCGTCCCTAACCTGTGGATATAATTCTTTAGCTAATCCTAATTACTGTTGGCCAAGAAATGAACAGAGATACTAGGAATGAAACAGAAGATGGAGAATGTAACCCTAGACAAGTGTTCAGAGCTCAGGTGGATTGTGTGCCTTATCGTTGCTCCGTTTTTGCACCATTTTACGTGCCAGGTACATCACTTGATGCAAGTCCCAGGTCTCCTCTTTATAGGACTAGGGTCCTGTTACTTCCGCATATGAACTGTCTTACATATGAGAACTCCACATACAGCTTAAATCCCCCCTTACCCACTAGAATGGTTAAACCAAATGCTTGTCCAGTGTGGCATGTGGCCAGCCAGTGTGGCATGAACACAACAGCCGTCTTCTGCTTGCCTGCTCAAATTAGTATTTAGAACGGGGTTTCCTAAACTTGGGTCTCCAGCTGTTTTTGGACTACAACTCCCATCATCCCTCACTAGCAGGACCAGTGGTCAGGGATGATGGGAATTGTAGTCCAAGGCAACTCAAGTTTGGGAAACTCTTGATTTAGAGGCATGCTATCTCTCCAAACTCTATAGCCATCAATAGCCTTACTTTTCATTGAATTTGTTTAATCCCTGGTTTTTGCTGGCGGCCATCTGTACACCTTGTGGCAGGGAGTTCCATAGTTTATGCGCTGCTCGAAGAAGAGCTTGCTTTTGTCTGTCCTCATCTCACACCCTTCAGCTTCGTTGAATGATCCCATGTTCTCACGTTAATGACAAGGAGGAAAGCTTCTCCACCTGCTTTCTCCATGTGGTGGATACTTTTTATTTACCTCTGCCATATCCCACCTCAACTTTTCTCCAAACTGAAAAGGTTGAAGCATTTGTGACCTTCCCTTACGGAGGAGTTGCGCCAGCTCCGTTTATACCACCTAAATGTACGGAGCCTACGCATGGTGCTTCTGCCACCGCTGGGTATATGCTGGCACTGCCATGCACTTGTTGCCAGGGAAATGTCTAACCCATCCCTAAGTCCATACAGTGCCTGATTTGCAGACCGTTTGAATCAATGACGTTTCAGACACTGACTTCCTTGATCTTTGCACCAGCCTTTATTGAAAACGAGCCAGGCTTGCTTCTCTTTTGAGTAATGTGAAGGCAGATTACTGCTATGACATGGGGACTGTTGTTCATAGGTTTCCAAACTTGAACACTAGACTTTTAACTCTAGTCAACTTTTTGAGCCCTAGTCTTTGACTCAGACCCTCCCCCCCCCCACAAGAGGTGCCTTGGAAAAAAACCTTAACATGCAAGTAATTAGAAGAAACTAGAACAGTGCTTTTTTTAAAAAAAAACCTGGCCAGAGCCTTTTTTTAATTAGCTCAAATCAACGTGAGCTGATTTAATGTGTGTTTATATATAAAGTATGCAAACATGTTGGTTTTGCAAGGCTAAATTGCCGATACCACTAGGGGAAAACTAACCCGAGTTTGTTATGATTTGTTTAGAATGGGTTATTTTTACAATGGTCTTGAATAAATACTTTTTGGTACTTCTACAGCTTAGCATGTTTTTCTTGTACAAGTTGCTGCGACTATTGCTAGGGAGTGAAATTCTGAGATTTGTAATGAAGAGTGGATCTGAAGGAATCTGATTGGTAAACAGGTAACATGGGTGAATGAATGTTTGACCTCTGAAAAATAACACTTGACATAGTTCAGACACCTGAAACTGTACTATACCAGTTGTCAACTTTCATTTTTAAGGGAAAAAAGAAAGAAATTCAGGCAGTTCTATGGGTCATAAATAAATTGCTCTTCAGCATTTTCCTCCCTAATGTGACTCTCACTAGAAGTTTTATCCAGTTGGACAACTTTTCATTAGCACTAACAAAAATAATGGCGGCAAGCTTTGGAGTTCTCCAGGACTCCTCATTAGGCAAACGAAGGAATGGAGGAAATGGGGGCCTGACTGAAGGTACAAAAATTAGCCTGGGTGTTGTAGCCATGAGATCAGCTTGTAGCCTCAGTTGTAAGATGGAGACTGCAGACAGAATAAATCCTTCTCATGTGCTACAGGTATCAGGTTACACACCTAGAATTCTGGGGTAAAGAAACAATGCTTGCTCCCAAATTATGAGAAATTAAAGTTAGGACATTTCAGGTGATAGGTCTCCCCCCCACCTCTGCTAATCTATAAGCTATTTTAAAAAATTATATATAAATATTGTCTTCAATGTTGCCTGATAATAAAGTTATGATGACAAGTCAGACTTTAATTTTTTCAGAAACTAGGAGTTGCCATTGCTTTTTTAAAAAAAATCCTCATCTTGCTCTCTTCTGTGTAACAACATGCCTGTTGAAGAGTTTGGAAGAAATCAGAAGTTTGCTGCAATTTTGTGATACACTGGTACCTTGGGTTAAGAACTTAATTCGTTCCGGAGGTCCGTTCTTAACCTGAAACTGTTCTTAACCTGAGGTACCACTTTAGCTAATGGGGCCTCCCGCTGCCGCCGCGCCGCCAGAGCACGATTTCTGTTCTCATCCTGAAGCAAAGTTCTTAACCCGAGGTACTATTTCTGGGTTGGCGGAGTCTGTAACCTGAAGCGTCTGTAACCTGAAGCGTATGTAACCCGAGGTACCAGTGTATTTTGGTTGGTCCTAATAAAGTTATTAGGGGATGTGGGTGGCGCTGTGGTCTAAACCATAGAGCCTCTTGGGCTTGCCAATCAGAAGGTCGGTGGTTTGAATCCCCGCCACGGGGTGAGCTCCCGTTGCTCGGTCCCTGCTCCTGCCAACCTAGCAGTTCAAAAGCACATCAAAGTGCATGTAGATAAATAGGTACCACTCCGTCAGGAAGGTAAACGGTGTTTCCGTGCGCCGCTCTGGTTTGCCAGAAGCAGCTTAGTCATGCTGGCCACATGACTCGGAAGCTGGATGCTGGCTCCCTCGGCCAATAAAGCGAGATGAGCACCGCAACCCCAGAGTCGGCTACGACTGGACCTAACGGTCAGGGGTCCCTTTACCTTAATAAAGTTATTACCCCCCCTCTATGGACTAACACCTTTGCTTTTGACAAATTTTATACATATTTTCACATAAAATCTCTATATTATGTCTGTGTTTCTCAGTGATTTTAGAAATTTCTCAGCTGGTTGAGCTGCGATGCCTTCAAATGGTAGTTCTCAATTTGGGTCATAAACCACTGAGAAGTTATCATTTTGCAGAAGTAAATGGGAAATCTGTCACTTTTGCCCTGTTGTGCAATCCCATTTATTTTAGTCTGACCTGGGTAGGGGGTCCTCTTAATGAATGATGCCTGTGGATATTACTTTTACGAGGGAATTAAACTGTTACAGAGAAAGTCTTCATGCGATGTCAGAACAACGCTGTTTTACTTCTTACACAAATATTCCTTTTGAGTGTAGCCTGGGAAAACACTGATTAGATTTCTTTATAGACTGCATGGTTCTTAAATCTGCGATCCTTTTATTCTTTGATATTCCATATTCTTTAACATTTGCTTGATAAGTGTATGCCTGATGAGTAAGGAGAAGAGTCAAGTGCTAATGACATCACCATGTTTCCCCTTGCTTGTTCTAGATTTTTCCGTTCCAGGAAGGAAGGGGGGGGGTAGAGCATCTGCCTTGCATGCAGAATGCCCCAGCTTCAGTTCCTGACATAGAATCTTAGAATTGTCGAGTTGGACGGGGGTCCTAAGGTTCATCTAAATCCAACCCCCTCAAATCCAGGAATCCTGCATTCCAGCTGGGCTGGGAGAGACTCCTGTCTGGAGGTCCAGCTCTGAGGGCCTTCTGGCGGTTCCCTCCCTGCGAGAAGTGAGGTTACAGGGAACCAGGCAGAGGGCCTTCTTGGTGGTGGCACCTGCCTTGCAGAGCACCCTCCCACCAGATGTCAAGGAAATAAACAACTATCTGACCTTTAGAAGACACCTGAAGGCAGCCCTGTTTAGGGAAGTTTTTAATGTTTGAAATTTTATTCTGTTTAATATTCTGTTGGGAGCCGCCCAGAGTGGCTGGGGAAACTCAGCCACATGGGCGAGCTATAATCAATCAATATTATTATTATTATTATTATTATTATTATTATTATTATTACTACTACTACTACTTTGAGAGTTGTTTCCCCTCTGGGCACACAGTACCCAGCTAGAAAGTGCAGTCTTATGACCCAGTATAATCCAGTATAATCCCAGTATAATGTTTTTCTCACGTTACATTAAAAACCCAATTGAGCCTGCAATCCTGAACCCACTTACTATGGGAGTAAACCCCAATGAATCCAGTAGGACCCACTGCTGAGTCGATATGGTTAGGATTGCAGCCTTAGCCGTCTCCGTATCCTTAGCTCTACATCTGAATATTGTTAATATGTCCAGAGAGCAGAAGAGAATTTAAGGTTGTGTTCCTGTGCACACTTTCAGAACAGCCAGTGTGGTGTAGTGGTTAGAGTGTCAGTCTGGGACCTGGGAGACCGGGGTTCAAATCCCCCCGTAGCTTTGAAACTCACTGGGGTGTCCATGGGCCAGTCACTGCATTTCAGCCTAACCTACCTCTGAGGGCTGTTGTGGGGATTAAATGTGGCAAGGGAGAACGATGTATACCAATAGATAGATAGATAGATAGATAGATAGATAGATGATAGAAGTAAGCTCCTTTGAACATTGCCACCATAAAATCTATCTGAAAATGTACGCTCTATCCAATGTAGGTTTCACACCCGTATTACAAGACTGATTTAAGTACCAATGGGTTTAATAAGCCCCCATGTGGAAAAACACGCTTTGTTACCAAACTCATCTAGGTGATGTGCTATGTGACCCCCAAAGGCATTGCAAAGAGGCGTCCCTCCTTCAGATGTATCCATTAGGAAGTTAGGACTTTGGTGTGTGTGTGTGTGTGTGAGAGAGAGAGAGAGAGAGAGAGAGAGAAGTCATTTTTTTCCTGCTAATTGACAGGATGTTGTGGAATTATAAGCACTGCATAGCAGTAAACAAGGCCTTATATTGACGGCACTAAAACAGTAGATGCTGCCACTGCTGCGAATTCGCAATGGGAAATGGGGAGAGAACGGAATGTCAGTGGAGAGGGAGGCCGTTTTTTTTGGCAAACTGGGGAAGTCTGAAGCCCCTGCTATGTGCATAGCAATGAGCTCAGGCTCACAACAGATGTGTGCGACACACAGAATTCCATTCCGTCCGTGTAATGTGGGAATCGGCCACTGGAAAGAACAGCCATCATTCTGACAGGGCTTCCAGGAGGCAGCGTTCACTAGGCCCAAATGACATAAAACGCTATGCAGTATTAGCATTAATGCTGAAGTGTTTTTTGCAGCATGCTTACACAGTGAAGAGATAAGAGCCCCATTCCCTTTACTTCTGCTGTTCAGCGGTGATGAGTACCGCTTATGCATCCAAAATGATCCTGTCCAAGAGGGAGCTGTCAGTAGGCTTTCTGAAACTGCAAGGTCTGGACAAGCAGAATAATAATATCTATTTATCAGCGTGTGGCGCTGTGGGGACACAGGTGGCACTGTGGTCTAAACCACTGAGCCTAGGGCTTGCTGATCAGAAGGTTGGCGGTTCGAATCCCTGCGATGGGGTGAGCTCCTGTTGCTCGGTCCCTCCTCCTGCACGTTCGAAAGCACGTCAAAGTGCAAGTAGATAAATAGGTACCACTCCGGTGGGAAGGTAAACGGCGTTTCCGTGTGCTGCCCTGGTTCACCAGAAGCGGCTTAGTCATGCTGGCCACATGACCTGGAAGCTGTATGCCGGCTCCCTCGGCCAGTAAAGTGAGATGAGCGCCACAACCCCAGAGTCGTTCATGATTGGACCTAGCAGTCAGGGGTCCCTTTACCTTTATCTATCTATCTATCATTATCTATCTATCTATCTATTAACAAACCCTCAGGGAAATTGCAAGGTTGAGAAACCGCAGAAGCAAAAATATCTTCCTGGAACTTAGAGCGGGGGATTAAAACACAACAACCCAAAACAGTGTAATATGGACTGAGCATGCTCAGAGGCCGCAGAATGCTTTGTGTCTTTCAGAGGAGGGGAGAAAAATAGAAAATGGGTGGGGGAGAGAATGGGGTAGAATATTTTGAATGAAGGCATGACTAGCTGACGCTCGTACTGCAACATTTGGTTGCAGACCCCACTTGTTCTCTCAGTATTAATGCGAACCAGTTCTCATAATGCCCTTCAACTTGTCTTTCATGCTCGCAGTCAATTAATACATGGTCTCAGTTTATTAAAATGCTAATTTTGGGAGTGCTGTTTAAATGTGTGCTCACGGCTGGAGCGGACATGCTAATCCATAATCTTGCTAAAAGTACTTCGATGTAGAATTGTTAAGGTACACCCGCTGCACAATCCCTGCCATTTTATTCTTGGCAAACTTACCATTACAATATATCTTGCAAGTCTTTAGGGCTGGCCTGGAAAAGGACTCCTACCTCCCCAACTTTACCACCTTAGGGTGGTAAAAGGTTCTGTGAAGTTGAAGTGTATGATTTCAGGCCCTCGGAGGGTGTTGTT